AACGACTTCCAAGAAGGACGTGATAGGCCTTGGGAGATTGAAGCAACGCCTTGACAACCTCGAACCCAATCCCAGTATTGGCACCTGTGATGAAGACAATGTCTTTCTCCGCCATTTTGAAACCAGAACGATAATAACAAAGTCAACTAAGTATGCTACCACTCGATATGTAGAAAGGAAGGACGCCCGAGGTGGGACGTCTGCGGGGTCTCCTGTGTATTTATACCTCCACCAACTCCGCATTGCCATGAAACGTAAGAGCTACTTCTCCCCGCCTTGAGGATTGGAGGCTTCCAAGCTACCATTGGCCAATTCACTTTGAGTTCAGGCGTTATGGCTTTAACACCTATGCCCGGTGATAACCTCGGACATAAGGATGTAACCCAAATTCTGGCTTCCTCTCTACTCCCACGTATAAGAACCCCAGAATAAAAGCGCACAGGTATCCTGCGGCTTGTGGAAAGGATCTTAGGGATCTTTGTGACGTGTTGGTCGGAGGTCGGTACTCTGTCAAGGCCGAGTGTGGAGTCATTCTCCGAGGATCGCAACATCATACAAGGTTTGAATAGAATATAGCCATGATTGAATTTGACCATGTAAAATGTTGTTTAACTTTCCTCATTTAAGTAAGGGGGCTTTCTCGCGTGAAATAATGCGGGATCTCTCTGCTCTGCATCCTAACAAGTGGAAAAGTCATATCAGGAACAGGATCCTTGACAGTTTCACCAGATAAGAAAGATATCGAAATGTATTACACTCAACTCACTTGAGCATCCGCTTTATGCTCTATTTAGATGAGCTATATTCGCCCAGATGTGTCTGATGTAGACTGGGACAGATAGTGATCCACCCATAGTTTTCCACTGGTCATGTTATACTCGTCAATTTCCAGACGATACCTAGATCCTGGTTCTCTCCGCATAGAGACGGTGAGCACCAAACTTGGCAGCTTTGAGCAGGTCACGGCCACTCTATCAGGCAAGAAGGTAAAGTCCGTTTTTGGCTGCCCCTTGAGATCGGCATACTGCTTGGTCAGTCCAACCTCATCACTAGGTTCGAGCTCCTCTTCCAGTGTACACCAATGATGATCTCTGAAACTACCACATGCGATAATAAAGTAACTACTTTTTTCATCTACCTTTAGACAACAGCTCATCATCAAAATAAAGTTCCCCTCATGAGGGAATCGATGTAGATTTTGGGTAGCCCGGATAGGATACGACCGTAACAGCGTCAGACTTCTCTTGCGAGGAATGAAATTTATCCAAGTGCCATTGGTAGACTGTTCGGGATCTTGGCGCCGACCGAATTGGACCAGGCCACCCGGGTGCATGTAAAGCCGCAGGACCTTGAAACAATGCTCAAGAGAAGTATCCACACTGACAAGTGAAGCAGGGAAGATTCGATAATGGGATCGAGGCTCTGCAGCGGACGAATCTAGAGCTAGGCAGAGCAAACGGTCATCTAGCTTACAATAAGTCCAGGCGAGCCGCTTTGACGCCAATTGTCTCTCCATTGGTGTCAGATGAGCCCAATCAGGATGGTCATTTTTGACTTCAAGAATTGGAAGCCATATCTGGAGTCCTCGGCTAGTAACCACGGGTGGTTCTTGATGTCCAAAACTCTCATGGATATCACGATATGAATATTGAACAACCCTCTTAAAGTCGACGTGATACACCATCTCGAGCTTTCTTTGCGTCTCCGGAGTTTTGTCGTTGGCTTTTGTGAGGATTGGTTCTGATATAGTCCGCTGGCTTGACCACTTCACATGAGTCGACCTTTTCATGAGAGGGAACTCTGATGGCGCCGAGGCCCAAGCACCGCGAACCATGGAATCGGGCTCAACGTCAAGCTTGGGCGGTGCGATCCACGTGAACATGGTGTAGTCCTCTTGTTGCCGCAAAATCTGCTCTTGGAGCCGATAAAAGGCTTTGACTCCTTCGCCGTACAAGAGAGGCATGTTGATCCCAAACAGCCCAAGGAGGCAGTATGCCATATCCTCTTCCCTTGTGGTCTGTCTTTTAGACGCCCAGGACATACGCTCAGCCACATTATGAACAAGGGGACTTCCTCCCCGCAGCACATCCTCGGGGATGCCAGTTCGTTTAGCCAACATCCCTATCATACTGGATTTTGTGCCAATTTCCTCCCATGAATGCGTATAGAATTCCACATATTTGGGGGCAATCAATTCTTGCAGCGTCCACCCTCTCGTGAACCAACGACTCCGTGATACTTCCGAGAAGTTGAACGGTTTATTCGCCGCCCCCGAAGCTGAGACGCTGCCACTTTCGGCGTCGTCCTTGATTCGTACATCTGACAGATATGCGAAGCAGACGGTAGATGCCTTGTACCACTTGTACATCGAATTGATGGCTTCTGACAGTTCGGCAGAGCTACTCTTGTCGATACAGAGAGTGTCAACCCACACCCACTCCAGATCGCACTCTTTCGCTTTGTGACAGAAGCCGACGATCTTCTGGTACCCTTTCTTCAGCTCACAGACCCCGTTCATCACATCTTGGAACAAGACCTCATCCTCCTCCCACGTGTGGCTGAGGATGCCATACGACGGGATTGGATCGTTAAACTCCTTGACTTCCAGTGTTGTGGTATTGAGCAGCCTCATCTTGGAGACCCCGCGCGAGATTCCGCCTGCCCATGAGGGAATAACCGAGACTGCGCTGTCCTCAGCCCGTAAAGAGACGCCAGCGGGCGCGTTTTGAAATTGTTTCAATTGGAGTGGCGAAGTTGTTTGACCCACAAGTTGACATGAATCAAATCTTAAGATACCTTTGACGTAGATCAGGGGCTGTTAATGCTTACCCTACACTGTTGAAAGCATCCTGGTTAACTAGGCTATGACGCCGTCAGCAACGCACGCGTAGACTTTCCAGTGCCTTCTGCTACAAGCAATTGAACATCAGTCTATTTCTAGCCGGCATACCTAGGGTGTTGTCGAGCTTCTGCATCTGAAGAACTAAGTTGACGCGCGACGCCTTGTCACAGGTGAACTCGTTGAATGTCTAAAGTGTGGAATCATAGAGCTGCAGATAGTTCATTCAAAGAAATGACTCTGAGGTACTTCTGGACAATGTTCTAGCAACGTTGTAGGTCAAAGTTACTTCTCACAGAATTCTAGACAATAATTCTTGTTCTAGAAGCCGAGTTTCTGGTCTTTACCACCTCGTGAAACAAGATTCGAATTGTACAAAAGGGGAGATTACCACATTGAAAGTTTAGGATGTGTAAGACAAGGGGCTCGCGCATAACTCTTGTACCATTTTGAGGGTGGCAGCGGGCGAGACTGCTCATTTATTAGAGCCTGTTATTATTAGGTAGTCTGACTCGTCAGGTGTTGTGGGGAAAATCCTTCTTCAACCCCTGGCTGTCTGTCATTGGCATTTACCTGCCACTGGTGGGTAGAAAAGTAAGCATTGATCTACCGGCATCAAGGGGAGTGTCTCAATCTTGACTGGTGGGTGGCCTCTTGCTGGCTTTCAGTTACAGAAGCCAGCCCCAGGTTCGGCCTTTGTAGGTCCTTGCATGCCATTCTGGGAGTCTCATAGCCATTACTGTCAAACTCTTCGATTTGCGTGAGGACCATTACCAGTTGAAGAGGATAGAATATTATGCATTAAGCTATAGCATTAGAAAGGGCAATGCCTGAGAACTGAAAATGTACTGCCTGTAACGCCTGTGACAAGAATAATGCCTGAACCCATCTGAGAAGCCGCCAATATCCAAAACCCCGGCCACTAAAGCGCCATCCTTTTCACTATACGCCAAGCCATATATATCCCAAACTTGTTTCGCTGCCCATATAAATTTGAAGGGATTTAATGAGTCTCCCCCATGGTCCGAATTTCCCTGATCTCAAACGCCGATCCACGACAGCCCCAATTTCGTGCGGATGCAATGTTCACTCGGACCACAGACTTCGCGGCCGCATTGTTTGTCGTTTAGAGACGCGATTGAGTCCGAATTTGCAGGGGCAGCTAACGAGGTAGATGCCAACGCCAACAGGAACAAGGACATAGACTTGAGGCAAACCATTGTGACGGTGCTTAGCGTATAATTTTGGGGTTTCGAGGGTAGATTTGGGAAATTGGTATGAAGTAGTTGGTAGCGGGCACACTGTATTGGATGAATGGCGTGCAATCGGATGATGGCTTTACAAGAACGACTGTTGGGCAGATATCAAAACTTCATCGAGGGCCTAGGAAGGAAGACCTGCAACTAATAATATAGAGTTATGGACATTCAGATCAGATCGAATCTATTTCCGGGTGCTCATCTCGCGACAGTTGATGGAGTTTAGGTAAGATTTTTAAAAATATGCCACAATCCTGGTCTGTGCCGCAGCCTTGGGTCAGCGCACAGCCCCTTTGTGTGGCTTACTGCGACCTGAATTGAACACTTCCGTACATATTTTTGCTATTCCAGAATTTCAATTTTAAATTTGCGTTGCAACATAGCATTTACCAATATATTAGCACAAGTTGGTGTGGTATCGTTACATGTGCGCATTAGCGAACCAAAAAGTCTCTGAAACTCTAGATGTCTCGGTGTGAATTGATGCGATCAGAACCTTAACCATTGTCTCTTTCTATCACCAACCTAACACTTTTGATTCCTTTGAATGGTTTCTAGCTCCTCACGGGCATGGATTTTCCAGCAGCTCATCCCTCCATCTCGTACTCTCTTCTTCAATCCCCGCAAGGGGCGATTGGGGAGAATTGGGACTTTGTAAAAAGAATGTCTCAACGAACTCACCATCCTTAACCATGCATTTACTCCGGATGGGTAACGTGCATAACTGGTTATTTGTCTACTTTACCCCCAGTCTTATTAATCATAGCTGCGGCACCTGGAGTGGGGACTGCTGCCTGCTGACGTGCCTCTTCCTTTCCCCTGGAGAGTTGTCAGCATGCAGCAACGGACAACAAATTATTACCACTCCTCGCTTGAGACCGTTCGTGCAGTATCATTGTGTTATGTCGGAAGAGCCCGAACCTTTGAAGCCGCTAAGGGCGCCATTGCCTGGGCATCCTGGAGGTTACGGGTGGGATGACCGATATGAGGAGATTGTTAGGATCTTTCCACATGAGCCGCTGGAGAAGTATCTCAGAAACGGCTTCCATCCCGTGACTCTCGGTGACAGATTCTTTGACGGAAGATATACCGTAAGACATAAACTTGGGTTTGGTGGCAGTGCAACTGTTTGGCTGGCAAAGGATGATCGCGAAAAGTACGATATCCGATCGGTTGTGAAGTCTGATCGTTACTAATGTATTTTGATTTCTCTTCTAGTCAATGGGTCGCTTTGAAGATTAAGCAAGCTAAAGCATCTTTAGACGATCTTGAACAGGATCCGGAGATTAAAGCGCTAAAGCTACTCGAGCACAAATACACCATCCACGGCTCTACTAAGCCAAGATGTTTTAGTCGCCTGTTAAGCTACTTTCAACACATTGGCCCAAATGGAACTCATACCTGTCTCGTGACTGAGCTTCTTGGGCCATCTATAGCACAGATGTTACGAGTTTTTGATGCGATGATCCCTTGGGATGACCCTGACTACCAAGAGGTCGAAACCTTCCGACCAGATACAATACTCAGATCCTCGCGTCAACTCCTAGAAGCTGTTGAAACCCTAAAGGTCTGGGGGATCGTTCACGGAGGCATGGAGCCCCACGCATCTTTCTCTTTTCGTTCCAACCCATCGTGCTAATGCGTTTTAGACATTTCCCCTTCCAATGTTTCCTTCACCTGCCAAACTGCGATTGACGACGAGGATCTCATAGAAATACTGGGTGGCGAGCCTACTATTGCGGAATACTCAGCCTCGGAGCCACGAGATGAGTGCCTCCCCAAGCATTTAGTGCGGGCGGCCACATGGAGCGGTTGGTTTGACTGCCCGGAGGAGAGCATCCGTCTGATAGATTGGGGAGAGTCCTCTTCAGCGAACGACAAAGTTTCAGAGCTTTCCCAACCCATTAACTTACGATCTCCGGAGACATTCTTTATTGGCTCTTTTGACCACCGACATGACTTGTGGAGAGCTGGTTGCGTGGTAAGACACTTGTAATATTGTTTCTTACAATTGCCTCTGCTCACCATATTAGATTTATCAACTATTTTATCGACAATCACCATTTAGCAACACTTTAGATAATCAGGATTATATTGAATCCATGGCTCTAGTAATGGGGCCACTTCCCTCGGCATGGAATGACCAATGGGCCAGAATGATTCAAGAGAAGCCCGGACGTGAGTTCTCTTCTCTCTTCGTTCCATTCTGCTTCTCTGCATGACTAAAAATATTCTAGCCAGAGGAGACCCGCGCTTTCAGTCGTTACGTGAAACTTTTGAGCAGCGACGACATTTCATCATTAAGCTGGCTGAAAAAGATGAAGACTTTGAAAAACCGGACTTTATCGAAGACGACTATCAAGGACTCAGCTGTCTGCTGAGTGTCATGGAAGGATTGATGCAGCATGAGCCACAAGAGCGCATTACATCGGGAGAAGCCCTGGCGAGAATTCAATGGGTTGACCAGTGGGTTTGTGATGTGCCAGAGAACGAAGAGGAATGAATTCGAACAGCGGCATTGAATCTATCTCTCTAGTGCTGCTATCACTGCAACCAGAGACCAAGAGCAATCGAAAGAGTTTATCGAGCGGCCTCAAGAGCCCTCTTGTTCGAAGCAAAAATTTAAGAAGGCTGACTCTCATGGAGTTTTGACTCGGGCTGTGATCAGTAGGGTATAGCATCCGTGTCTGATAGCTACTAAGCCAAGACAGTTTGCCATTATCATAGCAGCCAATAAAAAGAGGAGGAAGTCAAGTCTACTATTGTGTTGACATTTTCGTCGTTCGTTCGTTCTTCGCTTCATTATGTATAGCCAAGTATCACCTGTCTGTAATCGGCGGGGGCTTCCAACTCTGTGGTTTGATTGCTTTCATCGTACTCGCGACCACCTAAGACTGGGCTGACAGAGTCTCCTCCGCTTGCAGTGAGTGAAATTCCCCCTGGTTTCGTTCTGTATCTTGTGACACTCGGGACCAAGCTCTGGCATCCTATGTCTTATTTGCTATGAAATGAGGCCAGAGAATCTCAAGGCCTCCAAGTTAGTAGCTTTAGAGAGTCGGCTAAACTTGCTCCATTGGAAACATATTGGCCACATCACTATGTTATCACGCTTACTCAGACGAGGCTCCGCGCATACGAAAAGTCTTGAGTCGGTTTGGTGGAAGGATCCGCCTGGCCCAGGATACCCCCGAAAAATAACTATGCCGAATCTATTCCAATACAGATGAACCTTCAAGGCATCCCCATCCCCTTGGCCGTTCTCCTTGCGATATATATCAGACTCGCTAATATCCGAGCTTGATGGCTTCTGCTTTCAGGATTCAGAATCATTATTTAGGCCGACCATAGCATCATTCGCATGATCTCCGCGAACAGAATGTCGAGACACACCGCGAAGCCGGGCAACAACCTCCCAGGGTGATGATGGATGGATCAAGACACTATACCTAATATCTCCATGAGTGAGACGCTTGAACAGAAAGTTTGCCACAGCAGACCCTGGAAGGAGGTCATAAATAAGGTGAGTGAAGGATTCGGGACAAGAAGGCCCACCGAGAAAACATCCCAGCGTAACAGGCAGCAACATAACGGCCGTCCGTGCTCGCTGGCCCGCCTCAAAAACGGCCCGGTAATAGTCTCAATGGGGAGAATATTGTTATTTGCGGTGAACACCGTGTGCCTGCCAGATCAACACTTTAAAGGGGGAAGTGGGCAGTCGTTTCAGTAGTGACATTCTATTCTAATTATACCCATCCAAGCAAGCCAAGTCCATCTTAATACGAAATAAGGCTTCTAGGGCTTGTCCAACAAACTCTGGCCATAACCCCAGGCAATGCGTGGGTGCCGGCAAATCAAGGGTGACGTCAAGTTGGTATTGGGACTCCATCTCGGTGGGCAAAGTGCCGAGATCCCTGGAGCTCCCAAAATTGCATTCAAACGATGCCGGGCTATCTTCCCTAAAAAGGAAGCCCGTAAGCGGCACCTGAAGGGGTGGATCTGCTCCATGGCCATACGCGTCCACAATCTGGTCCCGGCGCATTGGGAGCTGGAAGGCAAGCTCTAAGAGCCGCGCGGAGACCTCAAACAGCCTAGGACCTACAAAGCAGGGGCGGAACTACCGGTCGGCCAAGCGTAGGATCCTTCGTCCTCGATGCCAAGAATGGGTACCAAGTAGCCAGGCAAGGGGGTCGGATTGGCATGCCACTGGCCAGGCAGGTTCTCATAAACCGATACCCCATGAGTGACCTATAATTGTCCTTATGCCGTTGTGCTATCATGAGCTACCCCTGGATTATACTTGGCAACAACTTAAATGCGAAGAGAGCTGGAGTAGGTAGAAAATTTGTCCAATACGATCAGTGGCATCGGCAATTCCTGGTCAGTTGGTCGTAGTAGCAAGAATGGTCACAGGAGTGGTTTCACATCGCCAACAAGGCCCGCTTCTATGAGTTGAAATCCCTGGATCTACTGGCTGTCTCCCTCCTTTGGCTTGCGTCCAGAAGGTGGCAGAAGCAAGTGGCAAGGAATTTGACAGTTGCCCCAACGAGGAGCAAGGGGCAATCTTCTGAGGCCAGGGCATACCGGAGTCATGCGGAATCGTTCTGGAAAGCGCTTTGGGATGCTCTCGGCGGCTCCATTCCTACAGACCCCACAGGATGAAAATTGACCCTGGCAGCATCTGTTAGTTCAGTTCCTTCGGGTTTGGAAGCTATTATCCTGGAAGCAACAAGATGAATAGCGGTATCAAAATGGAAAGATATATTTTTGGAAGTGAAAAGGCTGGGCGAGAAGATAGATAAATAAACACCTTTGTCCTTCTCTCGTCTTGAAATTATCCTCATAGCATCATCAGTACTTCCAGTTTTCCTTTCAATACTTTCAGCATCAATTCTATTCCTAGATTCATATATCTTCACATTCTTCCAACCGCCAACATGCACTTCACCAAGGCCATCTTTTCCATCTTCACCTTCTCCGCTCTGGCTGCTGGTCAGCTCTATGAGCGTGAGCTTGCTGGCGAGGACCCTGCCATGATTGTTAGAGAGCTTCGCGAAGACTACCTCTTCGCTCGTGACTACTTCATGGAGACGCGCGACTTGCTTGCTCGTGTAAGTAGAAGAGGATTAAACCGTGGTGTTTTCCCTTGGCATGTGACTGACAGGTAGAAATAGGCCCCCTCTCTGGGAGTCTGCAAGAGTGCTGGCAAGTCCCACCCCAAGAACTTGAGCTGCATGTCCAGCCAGGAGTACTGCGGTACCTGCAAGTCCGGCCAGAAGGCTGGTGAGGCGTGCTTCTGCAAGGATGACTTCAAGCGCGACCAGAACAAGCTCCCTCCGTATGTCTATGTCTCTCCGCCCTCATGAATAGTACTAATTTCAGGGATACAGTCTGAAGAAGATGGTTGGAAAGGAGCTCAAGAATGGCAAGAAGGCTTAAGTGCTTGCGGAGACTGGGACTTGAATTGCTCAAAGCACTGTGTGAAGATGTTTCGCTGGCTTTGAGCATGTCAATCAGCCAAGATCCGAGCAAAGGGGAGAACATAATTGTCGGCATTACAATAGACTAACCAACGGCTATTGCCAACGTGACAGTCAGTCTCTTTTTGTATCACTAAAAAACAAGGTCAAACTAATCAAAAAACCTTGGCCCATTCTTCTCCTTGGAACATGAGAAGTCTGCCCGGGGCGATTGAATTTGCGAGCGAATCATGTTGGCTTCACCACATGTTCTTTGGTGTTGTGCAACGCGCACCTCGGATATCGGTCTTCGAAACCCTGAAGACGAGCCGTATCATCTCGGACTTAACTTGGAAATGTCTCACCGGCATTAACAACAATCATGTTTTACGCGCTTTGATCTTACACATTGGTACTTGCGTGCATTTTGTGTTACTCTGCTATTGTGACCAGATTGCGTGGCTGCATAATCACTCCTCCTTCTGAGCCTCTGAGATAGAGTCGCGCTGTCCGGTGTGGGCCTGGGTGGTATCAAAAGTGCAATATTGGGCAGCCAGTGGCGTTACAACGTGCTGAGACGAGAATATCGCGCAACACTGCAGCGCAACACAAGAGGTGGTGGCGGCGGCGGTGATGGTGGTGTCAGCTGAAGATTGAGTGCAACCCATCACGCGGGTCTAGGGTAGGCGACCATCCGATGGCACCATGTTTTTGTTGTCTCACATTAGTCACTTTCCACCCCCTCTTTGTCCACGGCGATGAGCTGAGAGCTGCTGCCCAGCACTTGAACCTTTGACCAGCAGCTCGCGCTCTCCAGCTCGCTTTGTTTCGCGTTGTGTCGCGCGCACTGTCGGCCGTCTGCCTCTGCTCGTCATGGCCCAGCGTCTCCCAGTCGAGATTTGGTGGGCTATTGGCGAGGAGATCGACAACCCCTCGGATCTCGCGTCGCTGGCCCAGGTCTGCATCCAGCTCCATCGCATCATCAATCCACAGCTCTACAGGCTAGCGGCCCAGTCCGTCGTCGGCCTCAAGGCCATCTTCTGGGGCGTCAGCCATGGCTTGCCCGGCACCGTCAACTGGTGTATTGCCGCTGGCATCAACCCCAACCTCATCTGGCACTCGAAGCAGGACGCCAAACTCAAAGTAGAACTCGTCCCTACGCTCGAAGAGTGCGTCATCTCGTCCGAATCGTCGATCACGGTACAAGATGAGACGTGGGACCACAGACCCCGTTACTGGTCTCCCATCCACGTCGCTGCCATGCTCGACGACTTGCCCATGGTCAAACTGCTGATCTCACATGGAGCTCGCCCAGATCTCGGGTCTTTCGGTGCCTGCCCGTGTTACCATCTGCACGATTACACTCGACGAGTACGATCATCGTTCATCTACTTCCCCTGGGCTCGCTTTCCCTCGTGGACGCCCTACCATGTCGCCATGTGCACGGGCAGCCTCAAAGTCGGAGAATATTTCATGAACCAGAATGCGGATACCGATATGGAGTGCTTCGAATGGTATCCCTCCAGACCTCGCACAGGAATGACCCCGTTCCATGTGGCAGCTCTCACTGGCAACGTCCAACTTCTCAATATGTTGATGGAACGCAAGGGCACGCGCGAAATTGAGAAGGCAGACGCTCGCGGAGCCACTCCTCTTGTCTTTGCGTGCTATCACGGAAACTGGGAGTGCGCTTCCATCTTGCTTCAACAGGGTGCAAACATTAACAGAGTCTGCACCAGGCGGATTGAACAGCATCCCGGCCACGTCGAGACTTACAGCACCACGATACTGGCTGATACCCTCGAATCTTCCAGATTTGAGGACTGTCTCCGACTCCTCGAGCTTGGAGCCGATCCACGGATTTCTGACCGAGCGCGTCAAGGTCGGTTGCCCTTGATTCATCAGCTTTGCATGGACTCCTGGGATCGCGGTTATTGGGATTATAACGGAACCACTACCCGACAAGTTCGTACAGAAGCCCAGGCAATCAGCGGCCTCAAGTTGCTGGACCACTTCATCAAAGAAGGCCTCGACTTTCGTCAGTCGGCACGGGAACACCTCGACTACGGAGCAATCCACAACACCGCTCTGTGCTTCGCCGCCGCCAGCGCAAATCTTGCCGCGGTGAGGCGTCTTATAGAGGCTGGTGCCGACGTCGATGGCGACCCAGAGCGAGACATCATGACCCCCATGGCCCGCGCGTGCAACGTATACAACGGCCCTGAAACCGTTGAAATGGTGACCCTGTTGATCGAGTCGGGCGCTTCGGTCAACCGCGTGAGGAACAACACCAAGGCGCCGTTGTGGATGCTCTGGGACGATGTGAATATCGACGCTGCCCAGCAGGAACTGAGAAAGACACTGACAGACTTGCTTCTGAAGCATGGATCTAACCCTGGACGGGGCACAGACCATGGCGAAATCGCTTTTACAACTGCCTTGGACGCCCGGCTTCTCCAGAAGGATTTCGCTGGCTTCGAGGACCTTCGTGCGAGAAGCGCCCCGGGCTCGTTTGACGATGATGACTATCTTGGATTCTGGGACGTCGCTGTGAGGATGGATGATCCGGATGTTGTTCGATACATCATCGAGGACGATACAGAAGGGGTGATTGCTCGCAGATGCCACAGTGCTTTGGCGTTTCTCCTCACGGACATGCCTCACGAGACTGATCTTATAACGACCCTTTTGGATCGAGGAGCGGACCCCAATGCGACCACTGCAAATGATACGCCCTTGTCGTATGTCTTAAGTCGGACTGCATGGCCCATTCCCCGGAAGGAATTTATCTTGAAGACCTTGCTGGATGCAAATGCGTCTATTCATCGCAGGCCACAACACCTGCCCATCGTGGATTTTGAGGATGGGGGCACTCTGTATCGCGACGTAACTCCTCTTGACTTGGCTATACAAGGCTTGGACGGTTCTGCAAGGTTGCTGGAGATGATGATCGAGAAGCAACCTCTCCACGACGATTCAGAGACACCCGCTTATCGCTACATCTCTGAAGCGTGTGAGGTTGGAAACTTCAGAGCACTTTCCGCCATCATCAACTCCTCGGAACACGCGCACCGGACCTTGCGCGAGAATGCCTCCACTCTGCTCCACGATCTGCTCGACTGTCTCCCCGACAGTTCCACCATGAGGCATGTCAATGCGACTGTAGACTGTCTTCAACTCCTTCTCGAGAACGGCGTTGATCTCTTAGCACCTATTCCTGATCACGCGGATGACCAGAGACTGGCTAAGCAGAAACTCCTTGGTTACATGTCGCTGGATGACTCTCCACAGTGCAGCGACAAGGACAGGGCTCTCTCCTGGTGTCTGCGCCAGAAGATCCATTTCACGGATAATGACGACGTTCCGAGCTTCAAGCCGGAGACCACGGCGTTGTTCTTCCAATTGCACACGTCGCTTGACAACCTGGGTAAGATCCTGGGCAATGACTCACGACGATATGATATTATTTCTACGGGAAGCTAGGATGCTGGGCAGATTGACTTTTCCACTATTTTCAAACACTCTTACGACCTTTTATTACCTAAAAATGAAAAATCTAGCGTTTAGTTTTCTTTTGACTCTTATTTCACTTCTTATCTCGTCATAATTCCTAGGCGAGAGTACTAGTTTCCAATCCAAGTCATCACTTTATCAACAATTGTAATTCCCCGGACGCAACTGAACTCTGATACATTGACCCGTGAGTGACTTTCTCAAGCAAGGTCCAAAATATCTTTCAAGACATTGAGTGCCCTAAAAAGTTCATTGTCATGGTATCTCCTTGCCACAATCTGTAAGTTTATCGGGGCCCCCTCAAAGTTCCCGGTTTCCCACAGCTCCTTGACATGCTGACAAGCAGCGCTCAACGGAACATAGTTGGTGTCGTATTCTTCTCCGAGTTCAGCCTTGACGGGCGTAGGAACAACGGCCCCTGGGTAATCAACAAGATTATAGAGCGAGGTATATGTCCAGTAGAACGCGGTGTCGTGGGCCGACGCCGGTCCAACAAACGCAGGCCCAATGACAATGTCCACATCCTGCTCTGTCCAGCTCTTGGCAAATGCATGTCGGAACTTGTCTCTTTCGTCTCGCATTACACTGATGCCGCCGGCTGTCTGCATCCCAAGTGGCTCAGCCGTCTGGCAAATCGATTTAGTTAAGGGGTGGACTGGCTCCCCAGTAGAAGTAATGGCATCCGTTGTGAGTTTACCACCATCCGGCCAGTACATCAATCGAATCGTGTCCCAGGCCTCTGCCGCACCGAAAACTTTGAAATCCTTGATCTCGACAAGATCTCCATACTTAGGGTCGGATAGGAGAGCCTTTGCCCAAGACACCGCCCTCTTGACAGGTGGCTGGGGCATGATGAACCCGTCGTTGTCGATGATACCAATCTTCAACCTCCGGCCAAGCGGGGCTTCTATGCTACCCCATGGATGTGGAATCAGCTCGGGATTAGCCAGATGTGGCCTTGCGGAGAGGATAGACCGCATGAAGAAGTCCATGTCCCTCAAACTACGACCCATCGGCCCGGTTGCTGCTAGCACATTCAGCTCGCCTGGGAATGTGCCTCTGCTAAAGCCTCTCATTGGCAAAATGTTGGACGTAGGCTTGAAGCCGTAGATGCCACAGAAGGCTGAGGGGCCTCGGATGCTTCCGCCGATATCAGTGCCAACGCCGATCACCGAGCCTTTCATCGCAATCAGCGCTGCTTCACCCCCCGTAGATCCACCTGACGAGAGATGGATATTGAAGGGGTTCAAAGTTCGACCCCAGTGAGAGTCACTCTCCAGGTGCATAATCGACTGTGGCTGGTTGGTCTTGCAATAAAAGACAGCGCCTTGACTTCGAAGGATTGCAACCATTTCACTGTCCGTATCGTCGATGCCGATACCGCCAAAGTATCCGTGTGAAGAAGATGTCCCACGGATAGCTATGTGCTCCTTGATACTGACGGGAAGCCCATGGAGGGCGCCGATAGGCTTTCCGTTCTTGGCCATATAGTCATCTAGCTCCTTTGCCTGTTCAATAGCTTTCTCCATGAACCATGATGTCAGGCAGCAGGTAAGCTGATGCGCAATTATTGCACGCTTGCAAAAGGCAGTGGTCACAGCAACAGCTGTGTATTGCTGCTTCGCAAGTGCGGCGACAAGACTAACGGCGTCATGATTCTCCGTGATATCGATTTCATCTTTCGATAAGATCCCACAAGATGCAGGAATTCCTGAAACATCTGTAGGTGGATTATCGATCAGCTCACGAGGTAGATGATAATCTCGCGGAACTTTGGAATCAAAAGCATCAAGCAGGGCTGCCCTCATGATCTCAAAGCTGGCGGTCCCTTGGGGAACCGGCTTCGACTGGACAACAGGAAGTTTTCTCGCTGGCACATCGGTTGTTGGAATGCCGGTCTTTGAAGGATATGTGCTATCCCTGGGCACAAGGTACTCAGGGTTGACCCCTACGCGAGGGAGCGGCAGGCAGGACGCGACGCTCATTGTTTTGGAGTAAGATAGACAATATTTGTTGGTAAAAGTTTCTAGATGTGGATGCTGAGAAACTCGGCCAAAAGCATGAAGAGTTTTAAAGGGGATTGAAGCCTATAGCACTGATGATATGACGGGCTAAATTCTATATATACGTGCTCCTGTTGGAAAACGGCTTACTCAATTCCTCTGGTCCGAGTTGGATACAAACGCTCTGGACAAGTCACTTCACTATCAGCTGAAGATCAATTCCCTCCTTCAATATCTAAGACGTCTAGGGGCGCAAATGCATCCTACTGGTCAAGGGCTCAGCCCCCACAGTCTCTCTCTTCTTAATAAGAGTACTGCCAACCTGCCGGCTCCCCGGGGAAAAGTCACTACACTAGCTGGAATCTAATAGCATCAATAATATCCAAAGTACCAGGGGCGTAAATAGATCTTACTGGTCAAGGTGCATGGCCCTCCACCCTCCCCTTATCAAGAGCCATGCCGACCCGGCCACATGATACTTTACCCCGACATACGAGGAAACTGACCAATCCCACGTATTTACGCGATCCACTCGATGGACAGTCACTAGCGCATTTGGTGTCTGCCGGAACCGGGTTTGTCTGAAGTTGTATCGATGGAGGGTCGGTTTGAGAACATCTTCGCTGTATTTGAAATTGTTATCTCTACTCCAAGTAAGCCGAACAAGGTCCATGCTGGCAATCAAAGTCTCCGGCCGTCCGTCAAATGATAAAGTATGTAAAGAGCGGAGGACCACGTCTAAAATCACCAATTTACCTCCACGAACATTTCAAAATTCTTTTCTTTTTACAAGACCGCTCCTCAACAAACAAAATGTCAGATTCAATCGCGGTTCCCGGCACAGTCCACCTCGTGGATCTGGGACATAACTTGCATTCCCGCCATGCTATAGCGACTGATGATATTGTTCTCAATCCGACCCCTTCCAACGACCCGAATGACCCTCTCAATTGGTCAGCTCACCGAAAGACCCTTTCGCTTACCTGCCAAATCTTGTAAGTCGATGAAATCAATATGGCGATTTGAGCTCGAATCGTTACTCACCTTTCTGGCGATGTAGGTATACGTGGTTCACAGGTATAGCCGTTTCTACCGTGTATTCTGTCATCGTGCCCCTCTCCGAAGCATCTGGAGTGTCGATTGCCACTCTTAATGAAGGAACCGGCTACATGTTCCTATTTCTAGGATGGGGCCTCTTGTTCTGGCAGCCGATGGCTTTGCGTTACGGCAAACGCCTGACACTGCTTATCTCCATTCTTGGAGGAATTGTACGTACCTAGTCCTACAATCCGTAGAAATTACGCTTGACTAACTGCTTATTATTAGGGTACAAGTGTTTGGAGGTGAGACCGCTCCTGAATATGTTGGTTCAACAAATCTGGCTGATAGGCAGTTCCAGCGCATATATAACGAGCAATGGCCAGTGGATAGCCAAGTGTATTTTGCAAGGATTTTTCATCGCTCCGATTGAGGCTGTTCCTGAAATTGCCATTACTGACATAGTAAGTTTAAATCTGAGGTGAATTGGTGTCTTTCTAAGACTACCTTTTAGTACTTTACCCACGAACGCGGCACATACATGGGATTCTATACCTTTGCCCTGGCCGGTAGCAACTACTTCACCCCCATTATCTGTGGCTTCATTGCCCAGTACCAAGGTTGGCAATGGGTCTTTTACTGGCCCGCTATTTTCCTGGCGTTTGTATTTGTCTTTTTGCTACTCTTTATGGAAGAGACCAACTACAACCGGCCCGTGATGCCTTCGGCGACAGTACAGCTCACCCCGCAGGTCACTGAACAAGCTGCTGACAAGAAGAACGATCTCCATGCTGAAAGCTCCTCACAAGCCGAGCATGGCGAGGTTCACTCTATTCCTAAGACATTTCTTCAGAAAATATCGCTGTGGCAGCCCATACCCGGGCAAAGCATGGTTCGACGTGCCGCCAGATCGTTGAAGTTCCTGAGCTGGCCAGTCATCTTCTATGCAGGCTTCTCGTATGGCTCCTATCTATTATGGTTTAACATCTTGAATGCCACATCTTCGATTATCCTATCTGGTGAGCCCTATAACTTCGGGTCATCAATGGTTGGACTCAGCTATGTATCATGTTGTATCGGTGTACTTCTTGGTGCAATCTTCTCTGGAAGACTCAGCGACTGGCTGATTATCAAACTCGCTCGCCGCAACAATGGTGTCATGGAAGCAGAGCACCGCTTGTGGCCCTTTGCGGTTTGTGTCATTGTGGTTCCTGCATCCCTGATACTATGGGGAGTTGGCGCTCAGCATGGGGTCCACTGGTTTGGACTGGTGTTTGCCATGGGCTGTCTTGCCTTTACTAGTTCAGTCGGTATCACCCTGAGTGTGAATTATCTCATCGACAGCTACCATGATATCAGTGGCGATGCAATCGTGACAATTATTCTCGTCCGGAATACGATGTCGTTTGCTATTAGCTACGGGTAAGCCATCTCCCCAACTCATGGCGTTCTGAAGACTTTATGATTAAATGATAATGGTGATGATAGTATTACTCCGTGGCTGACTAACCTTGGATATCAAAATTGCTTCATTTCTGCGGCGTTTGTTGGTATGGCAGCCTCTTCTGTCTTCTTGATTATGATCAAATATGGCAAGATGTTTAGGATCAGAAGTGCTCAGGCGTACGCAGAATTGGTTAAGGGTGACAGGGAAGAATGGGGATCTAAACGGCGATAGCTTAGTACGTGAGTTGAAACCAACTCAAAGTAAAAGCTGTATCTTCATATCGATCAACGGGTTTCACATTATGTGTAGAGCCAACGGGACTTTCCGCAAGCTAGTTAATGCCATCCAAGCAACAACCTTCGTGCGTAAACTTGTTATCACCCTGTTTAAGGGATTTAGATGCTTGGCAGCCCCCATGTTTGAGACGATTATTGGTTGCGGTAATCTGCTATCGGTTATGCTCTTATCTCTTTCCGAGATGCGAGTCAAACAACCATCCCTATTGATAGAATCAAACGATGTCATTCGTGGAGGCTATGGGTGTGTGGGGAGAGTCCGTCAACCAGCCTACTTATACGTATCAGTTACCCCGCAAACTTGAGATTGCCACTGATTGCATTCCGACATAGCATTCTTACATTCCGAGGGCACCGCTTCCAGTCGTATCCTCCTATGTCAAATTGCCAAAGATGAACCCCTAACCACAAGCACGATGAACGTTGTTGGGAAGACAAAGTTGCGTAGCAAAACCGGCTGTCTCACATGTAAGTTTTATCTATCTTCGGGTACAATTGATTTGGGATCTGACTTGAACTTAAGGCCGGCGGCGCCGGAAGAAGTGTGACGAAAAGCTGCCTATATGCGTGAATTGTATATCCTCTCACCGTCATTGCCAGTGGCCAACATTTGCAGATCTCTATGATCGCAGATACGCATCTCATTCAGAATCGCGTTATCGAGATAATCTATCCAAACCTCAAGAATCTTCATCGGACCACGATGGCCTGCATGAAGAATGCCGTTCTTGTCGCTCTTCTCATGGCCAACATAACCCATTCTTATTAGATGCCGGGGTTTCCAGCTCTGCGGTTGCTCAACGAGTGCTCTCGCAAGAATTGGACTGTCATATCTCTCGCCACTTTGTGAAGAAATTCTACTCTCTTCTATTATTGCCTTACTGCCACACTCAATATCACGATGGCTGGCTGTCCGAGTTAAGACAGGCAATGGATACTCACAAAAGCCTCTACTATTCTATTCTGGCCTGCGCTGCATCTCATATGTCGATAATTGATGCCTCTTCTAATATGAAATACATCGCGCTGGCTTATTACACGAATTCTGTCCGAGAGCTTGCAAGCCTTCTTTCCACCATCTCGCAAGATGTTAAAAATGACGGGCTACTAATGACCATCATGATGCTATCTCTTCATGGAGTAGGTTTTATTCTTGAGGCCCAGTCATATAAAACTTAACTAATTTATCAGTTGGCGAGCTGGGACACTAATCGTGATGTTCCGCAACATATCCAGGCAGGAATTCGGCTTCTGACACTTCATGTGTTAAACAAGCCTATGGGAGTTTCTCGACTCTTTGATAGGTCATCGCTTGAGAGCGTCATGTACGCAGTATTCATTCACACGGCCGGTCTTTGGTCAGATTCGACTAGCTCTGAGTTCATATTCGATAACGTCTTTTGGTGTCGAGCGGAACAAGTTTTGGGGCAGACCAGTTTCTTCCCGGAAAAATCAGGGAGCTCAGACAGCCCCGTCCTCGGTGTTCCTGTTTCTCTCTTTCGGATTGCTTTGTCCCTCCGGGATGTTTTTCGTACAGGGATACTACCCGAAATCTCGGAGCTTGAAGGCTTACAAAACGACGTAGCCGATTGGGAAGGACTGCTGCTTGAAGACCAAAATCTTCTGAGTTATCTTCCGGGCGACCCACAAGGACGTGACTTCCAGGAACATTATCATCAGACTGCGGTTCACCTCTTTACCCTAATCACGTCGCTGCTACTTGGTCAAGTTCTTCGGAGAAGTGTATTGGCTGGACTCCCACAGACCATTCCACGGGAGAGTTGGCAGATGAAACTAGCAATTCAGATTCTCGAGAAGTACGCAAACGACAGAGTATGGGCTAAATGCTTCATCGTGCAGTGGCCGATATACACGCTAGGAGTGCTGATGGACTTGCCCGAAGACCGGCAGCTCATCCGCAAGCAGCTCCAGCAAACTTGTGATGTCACCAGCTTTGCACAAGTTGCGCGGTATGGCTACGATTTGGAGACCATCTGGACAACTCGAGAAGAGGCGGCACTTATGAATATAGAGCAAGAGGCAGATGGGGGCTTGGATGTATTATTTTAACTCGGAAACCTTTGTTGTATGTTGATCCCCAAGACGAGCTCATCAATACAAAGCACTATGATCTAGACGTTCTCCGTATCTTTCCCTCCAATGATGGCCAGCGTACAACATTATTTCAAGGCCAAAGTTCAGCCTTTCCCCAGGACTGATCGTCTGGACGAAGCACATACTTGAGCCGCTTGTGCTGGCGATCCGCCTGTCCTTGCCAGAATTCCACCTCGATGGGGGTTACCGCATAAACAGCCCAATCACTCAGAATGGTGTCAGGATTCTGGGAGAATATTTCTTCGGCGATGCTGCGACTCTTGAGGAGGTCTCCCGCGTCTAGCAGCACCTGACTCTGGTTCGATGCCATTGCACTAATCCTCGAACCAAGTGGGCGCTGGGCAAAGTCTTGACGGCACTCCTCATCAGGCAGTCTCAAGGCCGAGCCCCGGATGCGGACCTGTCTGCATATCTCAGGCCAGTAGAATGTGAGCGCGACACGCGGGTTCCCGGCGATGTGCTGGCCCTTGGGGCTTGTAGATTTGACGGCAAAGTGCCAGCCCCTCTCATCCACGTTCTTGAGGATCAAAACGCGGGCATCTGGGAATCCAAGGCTGTCTACTGTCGACAGAGTCATGGCGTGTGGCTCCCTGACGCCAGCCTCAATTGCATCACTGAGCCACTTCTGAAATGCTGCGTGAGGGGTTTCTCCGAGGCTGTCCAACGCAGATTCGTCATGAGCACCTTGGAGTACGGGGAGACCTCGTAGCAGGGATTTGATGGGAGCAGGTTGACTTGTCATTTTTGCTGTGGTGGATGTTTTGATGTCTTTCTAGAAAAATGATATAGCTCTGAGATATGCCGCAACGTTTACCTACGCAAGAGAAGTAAGATAGCACTCGGCTGTCGGCAGTCTCATCCCGAGAACAGGGATCAAGATGAGTCACTCTGTGAGACCATACAAACCAGCAGTGGCGCACAACAAAGTAGATCTACGGAAGCGGTTTCGGATGACGAATTTATTTACTAACGATATCGGAAATCAAGTGCCCATAATTTCATAGCACGTCGTCAAAAGTTGTACATTCGTATAAAGAACTACCATCTTGCCTTGTTGAGGGGGTCCCCCTTTATGATTAGGTACTTGAAGCTACCTGCTTTTCTACATATTCCTTCAGTGGTGCTGGAGATTGATACTATTGTGTTGTGTGTGTGGCCCCCGTGGGCGACACCTGCATTCTCCTGTGGGCTATGCGCCCGAGATACTCCGTCCTCTGACAGTGGTCCGCTTATCAGGTCATGGTGTCTCACTGCACCGCCAAGGGGGCTATCGAAAAGCAAAGAGCATAGTCAATAGGTTTACGTGGGACCTACAATTGATGCTGACTGCTTGTTGCACTTTAATTGATGAGCCATGTTTCTGAACAGGTAATTGCTGACTGCAGAAGACAGCGCCATGTCTAACAGGTTCCAGCAGACTAGGCATACATAAGGCAGCATATGTCGACAGATGAATGAAATCATGGGGCTCCTTATCTTAGGTAAGCCATACTCAGCACATGATTTAAACGTACCTATCGTAAGAGTGCCACCGTCACTGTCGTAATGCGTTTTTATGTGCTGTAACCTTGGTGTACTGCCACAACGCCCTCTAGTTTAGGCGTTGGGTATCAATATATATTATTTGGGAGATGGCAGATTTCGAAACCATCGATTGCAGTTGACCTGTGCTCGCCTAGAACGAAAGCTTGCTCATCTTGACTCGACTGTCAGTCTCTATTCATATTTAGCCATGAGTTATCCCATCCCGACGCGACGACAAGATGTCGACATTGCTATTATATGTGCACTACCCCTTGAGCACAACGCGATTGCATTGTTGTTTGATGAATTTTGTGATGACGATCGCAACAATTTCGGAAAGGCCGCTGGGGATCCAAACTACTACCTCACCGGGCGCATCGGGCAGCACTACGTTGTGCTGACCGTCATGTCCAATATTGGCAAGTCTCATGCAGCCAGCGCGGCGGCAAGCCTGCGCTCAAGCTACAGCAATATCCGCCTCGCTTTACTAGTGGGAGTGTGTGGTGTGGCACCCCAAACATGCGACGGCGAAGATATCTTCCTTGGAGACGTGGTTGTGAGCAAGACAGTTGTCCAGTATGATCTTGGCCGTCGTTATCCTCACAAGTTCATCCCTAGGGATACAATCGATGAAATTCTTGGAAGGCCTAACAAGGCGATTCGTAATCTTTTGGTCGCCTTGGAGACGGATACTGGGCGAACACAGCTGCGGCAGAAGTCTGCTAGCTTTCTCGCGCAGCTCCAACAAAAGTCTGGCATGAAAAAGAAATATGGCTACCCAGGTTTAATGGAAGATAAGCTGTTTCCTGCCAACTACATTCACAAGCATTACGGATCACCAACCTGTTCCTGCAAGGGTGATGCTGGCACAGAAAGCACATGCAGCGAAGCGCTGACCGCGCCCTGCTACCTCACAGGCTGCGATGAGCATTATCTTTTGCGGAGGCCACTACCCGAGAATGGCAGTGAAGGCAAGAAAGAGCCTGACATCTACTTTGGATGTATTGCCTCAGGGGACACTGTCATCAAGTCTGCAGAGGCCCGGGAAATAATCACACAACAACAAAACGCCATTGCCTTTGAGATGGAAGGCGCGGGTGTCTGGGATGAACTGCCATGCGTCATCATCAAAGGCGCGTGTGATTATGCAGACTCACACAAAAATAAGAAATGGCAAAATTATGCTGCTGCTACAGCAGCCTCAGTATCTAAAGCTCTCCTGGAGTGTTACACCAAGGATGACCATGAAATATATGCATTTACTGGTCAGTGGTGAGATAAGGCTATCAATCCCTTGGGAGCATTGGCTAACCTTGACGCATGACAGATCGAACTTCAAGTCAGAGTAACCCTAGTAGATGCCAATCTGGTACATACGTAGTAGATAATATTGCAGATGAAGGGGCCCATCAGGAAAACCGGATTAGCAGGTCGGGTGAAAGTGGCACCGTCCAAATATCTGGAAACAAGGCAACTGGCGGGAGTAAGCAGCAAAATGTGGTCAGCACAATATGAACATTTATTCACTTGTCCATGTTAAGGAGGTAATAGGTGTTTGCAAATCACAGCAACTAGAAAACAGTACTACAATATTGTTAATTATATGCAATATGTGTAGTCCTGTGAGATTCGCCCTTGGATAAGAAGACATACTTCAATATTCTTCCGTAGTGCAATAGTTCGGAGGGCTTACTCTTCTTGAAGTGGATAGATTAAGGTTTTGAATCAAAGCAGATGAGATAAATGTTAAACAAGAGGCGAACTGCCTTTCATGCCCCCCTTCCGCGACTTAGAGCTATGTAAGGGATGGTAGCATTCTGACTGCATGTGGTCAGCAATTAAGCTTGGCAAGTAGGCGTAGTAACTATAATAGGCTGACATAAAATGCCTCACCTGCGATGTAACACTCTATTGGACTGAATGTCTGATTTGCAGTGATGGAGTGGCTGCATATGACTCACCGAGTTAGCCTTAGCGAACCAAAGGCATCCTAGTGAATTATGCTTACTTCTAGCCCATTTGTCTTTGTTAGGCACACTGCTAGCCTTTGGTGGCTGATATAAATTAGATGTCTGATGGTAGGGCTATGTTCGATTTTGAACCGATTAAATATCTGCTATGGTATATCAAGCTGTCTCTCCCCATTTTCCGTTTCTCTTAAATCACTTCTTCCAAACAAGCACTTGCAGCCACTAAAGACTATTCAGAATGTCTAACGCAAACCCAATAGGTATTTAATCAATCTAGCCCATTTGACTTCTGCGTGGCGAGGCAATGACAACTGACTTGGCAATTCGCAGAACCTGCTCGGGTTCAAGAAGTGCGCTGCCGACGGCCGAACTTTCCTGACGAAGTTGCCCAATTTGCGGTCGGTCCGAATGATACGGTGGCGCAATTCATCGCAAGAGTTCGAGAACGTTTCCCTACCATGGGCCGTATTGAAATACCTGATAGAATATCTTCACTAAATGCCAGGGATTGGCTTCCTCAAGAGCCCATCAACCTTCAGACAGAGAATGGCACGACCAGTATTTCCTTCAACCGGGCAACAAGAGGTGGTCAGCAGGCCAACTTGATCATGTTTACCGACAGCGGCAATATATCCCATAACCTTTCCGATGGAAATGGATCAAACCAAACCAATAGTATTATTGGGTGTCATATTATGTAGCTACATGTTCTTATCTATAGTTCAAGGCATTTATTTTGTATAAAACCATGACCTCAATCAAAATAACGTTGATTAACTGCCTGAACCCTAAAAGGCTACTACAAACAATCGCGTATGGTCTTTTTGAAACACGTCATATTCTCACCCTCGGTCTCTGCTACCACCGTCTGACATTTGTGAACATACTTTTTGGTGGGTATAGTAAGCCATGATGTCGTATCAGAAAGAAATCAAGGAATACGTATTCCTCGTATCAGGATGTTTCCTCAATATTATAGACGCACGGATTTCGCCGAACGCCAGAACCATGTCTGCATACCATGAATTTGGCAGGGTAGATCTGTGGCCTAGACCTATAAATGATGGGTGTATGCCTTAGTTACATGTAAAGATGTAACGCGGGTGCACCATTTCCTCACTACACTACCCTATTCAGCTCGGCTGATCGAACTTTGTGATTCTACTAGGATTTTTAAATCTAATTATACTCTGTTTTCTCTTTAAAAAAATGGCGGGCAATATTGGTAATGTCGCAACGCATGGTGCAAAACAGACTAATTCCATATATGACATCAGCCTCATAAAAAATGTCGTCCAAGTCTCGATCTCACGAGCTACAGAAGTAGCAACTGCGCAAGAATTTGGAAGTCCATTGAAAACCAAGTATTCGTATGATCCTCTTCGCGATCTTATTCGAGGTTTTGGTCATGGAGATATTGAGGCCAAACGTTACCATGGTCTTAATATTTATGAAAGTCTACGTGGCAAGATGATAACATCAACCGGACACCTTGAGGAACTAGCGATGGATGAACTCATCAAACATGATGGTGAACGATTGGACCCTCTTGGTAGCCTTATAGTGTGCCTTTCGGTGCCTTTGACCAAAACTGTGCTTAGTTACCTGATTGCATCTGCTATTATGCTACATATTCATGGGTCGATCGATCGGACAATGGAAGGTGCTATCAGGATGCTTCAAGGGAAGGTCGAAAAGTACGCCGTTTCCATCATCAGCCGCGATGGCATGTGTAACAAGCTTGAAAACGCAAAACAAAAGGCTACCGCGTTGATCCAGCGTCATGCACCTCGCATTCGTTGCCATTCCATGTTTTTGCCTCCTCGGGGTCGACATGAGGAGGGCGATTTTATAGCTTTCATCGCTCAGCTCTGGTCCGCAAAAGCCGAGGGTCAGAGGATATTTACCAGATCCATTAAACTAATGGCATTTTCGCTCTTGCTTTCTGAATATGGATGGCAAATTGATATCTTTATTGAGGAAGATAGTACAGAGAAGGCAGAAAACCCAGAGACAACAAGTTTTATCCCCATCAAAGCTGATACGAATGCAATATCAGTCATTTACAGTTCGCTCTCAAAAGAGGGCGGTCGAGAATACGTTGAAAACCATGCCAAGTACTCTCTGCTCCGAGAAGATCCATACATATCCACCGTCTGCATGGCTATTCCCGAGCAAATGGGTAAGATGACTGCATTATCTTTATCGAAGAATGAAAAAGATGAAAAAGCCTTTCTTCAAGGATACAAAGCTGTCAATGAGTTGTGCACTGGAGAAGTTCAATTCAACGTCACTATAAGCCTTGGTGGCTTTACCAAAATAGATCTTGTTGGCAAATCTATGGCATCTGGAGCCTTTGCAAAGAGTTGCCGAAATCTACTGGGAAGATTCAGTATGGCAGGTGCACCCGAGCAAGTGAAAAATCTCGTTGTTGATGCTTTATGCCACACCTTTCCTGACTATGACTGGGATCTTCTCGATAATCAAATCCAAAATTGCCGGTACCCAGATGCTCCATTTACGACGCTGCTTACGGATTCTAATCCTGACGATTGTCTTATCTGGGTGGTTGCGGGTGCCGTTCTTGCTGTGTTTCACAAGATAGTTCTATCACTCGCCAACATACCAGCCACCGGTATCATCAGAACGCCTGCAGGACCAGGGATACATAAGTTCGTCCAATACGGAACTGGGCTTCTTAACGGTTTACTCGAAGGAACTTTACAACCTTCAGAAGCCGTCCTGTTTTGTGCAGCTGGGTTAGCAGGCGCTGATCCTGAACAAATTCAACTTATAGACACCAACTATCAGGCTAAGATTGTTGGTTACTGGGGTGGTCAATATGGATTGCTCTTAACACCGCTATTTGAGCGGTCTCTCTATTCTGATATGGCGAAAGAGAAGATGAAACCGATCACATTCCATAATATACCAATTATGGGCATGTCGACGGACGAGCGAGGCTGGGTCAGATCAGGATCTCTATCAGCTGTATATCATCGATCCCGCACATTTAGTTACAAAGAACAACATTCATGCGATGTCATCATGGAGTATCGCCCGCATTTCGAAGAGGATTCTCGCTGTGTTGTTGCAGTGGTATATCTAGATGGTGTTTTTTACAAAACATTTCCGCTCTCCGATATATTTTCGACGCAGTCAATTATTTCGTCTTGCTCTCACACTGAAGATACTGGGATACGTCAAAAAGCTCTTAAACATATTACACTGGATGGTTTTGAACCGGGAGAAACAACCTTTCCAAAAGATGGAGAGATCCACGTTATTATTCCACAACAAACTGCAGTTACTCGATTGCTTTGTCTCATGGCCTACCGTGATTTTCAACCAGTTATTCAAAACGGTTGTTTAGACTGTGCTGTTATTGCTGCTGAGGAAACTCAAAGTCCACGAATTATCATTCCTAGGATATTAGAGTCATAGATAAATTTAGTAACGTAGTATGAGAATTTACTTTTCTATATATTCCCTAATATTATCCTTCAGTGATTGCTGGAGATTGATAGTGGTCTGATCAGCACACCAGGCCAAGTGTGGTGTGAGCGTGAGATTCAACCGCTTCGCCTCCTCGCTAAGAAGAACACTATCTTCTGCACATCCCGCAGGTTCCTTTTCAAAGACATCAGTTGCTGCTCCATGAATTCGGCCCTCGGAAAGTGCATCGAATAGAGCCGCCTCATCGATAGTACCACCCCGTCCGACATTGATGATGATGGCATCTGATCTCATTTTTTGGAATTCGGCAGGACCAAATGTGCCAAGAGTTTGTGGGAGTAGCGGCAAAATATTGTACAGAACGGTAGCCTCACTAACCGCCTCTGCAAAGGGAACGCGGGTAGGATCATCGTGGCTCATTGAGTCTTTCCGGCCAGCGACGATGACCTTCATTCCCAAAGCCTTGCAGAGGTTGGATATGCGCTGGCCAATTGGTCCGTATCCAAAAATGCCCACAGTTTCATTCTTACTGCTACGGGGAGGTTGCCCCTTGCTGTCCTTGATAATAGATGATAGACTCCCGTTTGTTTTCCAGCCATTAGCCCGGGAGGGGCCATAGTCATAAAGTGCGTTATGAACTGACACAAAGCTCCGTCGAGTGGCAAAATACTATTTTCCTTCATGTTAGTTCTCCAATGAAGGGATATATTCATAGAGATGACTTACCAAGCCGAGGGCATGTTCTGAGACCGCATCCGCCGCTGCAGTTGGCGCCGAGTATATAGCAACTCCTCTCCTTTCACACTCCTCGACGTCAATATGATTTGTGCCTGCTGTTTCTGTTATGACACATTTTCTATCTTAGGGTCAGCATAAGCGCATCATGTTGATCTTATTTCAGGCCACTTACAGGTATGGCGCTTCACCAAGTGTTTGAGCATTTATCGGCACGGTAGTCGTTACCACAATGCTGGCGTACTTGATCCTCTCCGCCACAAGAGCGGTATCTTCTTTTGGTGTGAACTCATAGGAGATAAACTCGTGAGAGAACGGTGACGTGTCAACCGAGGTAGCCGGAACATGGATGGTTTCCAGTTTTACAACGACATGATGAGAATTGTCCGGTAATTTTTTGGGAACAGTTACCTCCCCCATTTTGGTAACCGTGTCGCTTTCAGAATCAGACTACAATCGTTTCAAGAGCAGTTTCAGGGTGTTACCTAGAACATCAGCGGTTATATAAACGAAGGTACTCAATTTTTTTAAGGTTCCAAATAAGCCGGCTGCTTGACTTGTCATGTTTTGATTTGTAGGGCGCGTAACAGGGCGCGAGCGGGGTCATAACCAGTAAGATTTTAGCAGATTCTCGTATCTTTCTAATAGCTAAACCTAGTCAAGGAGTTAGGAGTAATTTGGTGGATCTTTGAGGGGCTCGACGCGAATAGTCAACAAACACACCGCTAAAAGGGTTCGGATTTAACTTGCCGATCCAAATATCCCTAGTTGTTTCTTAAGCATAAAAGGACTAAATGAAACGTTTGATAGTCATTCAAATCTTGATCTGCTTTTCTTCACAACATAAATGACGAGAATGGCCCCATGTTCAGAGTCATAGCCAAACACCAGTGGGTGTTATTGCAATAGATCACCAGGATATATAAAAGCTTCCTTAAAACAAATTATTATATTAATTTATGAGCCCTAATGGCTTATTATAATTGCTCGAAATCTCTAAGAAAACAGGGCGGGGTATGATTTCTCAATGGTATTTTCAGATGGTAGTAATCAACACCTCTTGTGTTTAGATAGTATTCCTTCCGACAGCCTATACTATATCCGATGTCGTCGACTATGATTCCTCTCTCTTTGTCTTGTTTCTCTGCCACGCCTCCATCATGGCTGTTTTCATGGCATCTTCGCCAGCGGCAAAGTTTGCTCTTGACAGATCCAACAGCATGTCGATTTGCTCAGGAGTCCACACCAAATTGTATGACCCGGAGAATTTTGCCGTTGATGGATTAAAGTCTTTGACGGCTTCTTCGTTTGGAATGATTGGCATGTATATCATAGTTGATTCCTTGGTGAAGACTGGAGAAGGGGGGTTGGTGACCGTTTTGCCGTAGGAGTTGACGACCGTAGCAGGCCGTTCTGTCGGCACGCCGTCATAAATTTGTGCATACTTTCCTTTGTAGGGATTCTCCGATTCTTTCCCTGTCTGTTCAACCTTGTTTTCTTTGCTGGCTTCTTCTGGAATGTTCTCTTGCTGCTCGGCAGGTATTGGCGCTTCAGCTGCAGGGTTTTTCTCCCCCTCTTCGGTTGTAGGGTTCTCGTGAGCCTGATTAACAATGTCGGTCTCTCGTTTTGTGAATTTCATACCCTTTCGGCTTCCGATTTGATCTACCCTTTCCTGGAATGTGTCGTTCAACACGTCGCTTGACGCATCCATGTTCATAACGATGTCAACTCCTCTTGCAGGGTGCAAGAGAACATATGTTGGGCAATTGTTGTCCATTCCACTATCGATCAACTCGATCGTCCGCGAGCTTTCCAAACCTGATAGTTTCTTCTTTTCCTGGCCGTCTTCGGTGTATTGGTACATATAATTATGCTCCTCGCAAGCGTGCAGTGGGTGATGGTTCTCAAACTGCTCCGTTCCGCGTTCACCCCACCACCAACTTATCGTACGAGCAATCTCCCGGATGGATGTCCCAAATAGCCCATAGGAAAGGTTTCGGTTAATGGTAGACAAGTACGACGCCAGGTGGGCCGCGGGGGCGCTCGTTGCAAGTCCAAGAACCATAGATAGCGACTGCTCGGGGAGTTGGACGGTTGACTTTCCATGGCTGAAAGGACGTCCGAACGCCCATGTCGGGACCCAGGCCTCGATTTCATCGCACCCAATTTCATAAGGGGTCATTTCAAACCACTGATACCACGAGTTGGGAGTCTCGCTGCCACTGCTATCCTCAGCAAGCTCCGCATCATCAGAGGTAGAACCATGTTTTCCACGATCAGACACCCGTTCGTGTCGGATGGCGGTCATGATTGGCAGTGGCTCATGTCCATTGTCAGTATGCCTACCAACATCGGAATATTTAAGCCACTTTGCCTGCGATGTAGCAGCGTCTCGCTCTCTGATGCGGCCAATCTCCAGCTTAGCCTCGCCTTGGAAGAATATGTACCCGCTCGTGAAGGTCGAGTACCAGTCCATCGAGTGTGTTTCGATACCGCTCTTGTGTTTCTGAATCAGCGGGCCAAGAGTAATCTTTGCACCGCTCTGTGTACTGAGGATGGCACGAATGGCATCGCTGGAAAGAGGATGGTAAGGATAGAATCTTGCTTTGCAGTGGTCGATGGCGGCTTGGATGTTGCAGTTGGCAATGGTGTAGTATATGCCGAGGGCCCAGCAGGAGCCAGAGACACCAGACGTATATGCGAGGCAGTCCCAGAGGCCATGCTGCTTCATCGCGTCCATATACCCAAGACACCCGATCAGAGCACGGAAGCCTCCTCCACTGCCTCCAAACGAAATGATTGGCACGTCGTCCGGGTGAACATCTTCCGGGTCAAGGGCCAAATAGCTTGCAAATGCGAGTCTCATGAGCTCCCTCCTGTTCCGTAAAAATCGCTGCTCTTCCGGGCAAAGTTCCAGCCCTCTCCTCACCTCTGCTATAGAGGCAATCTCTGGGTGAAGCGTCGTGTTCGTGCTCTCCCTCTTGAGACGCGCCTTGAGTGCCGCTGTGCCAAACAGGATCTTCATGTCCGTAATCGCCTCCGGAAATGCGGGTTTGATAACCTTTTCCCAGAAAGCTCTCCATTTTCTCCAGAAGAAGGCCCTCTTCCTCTTCTTCTCGCCCTGCTGATCGCCTCCGGTTGGATGGACACCAGCCTCCAGATCCTGCGGCCGGGTTTCCTCCAACTCATCTTCCCGAAAGTGTTCGTGGAAGTGTTCACGAATTGGTGTCGGTCCGATAATGTAGGGCTTCTTCTTGAGCTTCTTGGCGAGCTCCTCCTCATACTGCCGCTGCTCAAAGGTCTCCGACCGACCAGTCAAACTGCTCAAATTGTCATTCCACATGGTCCATTCAAGATATTTGACAGCCAGTTTTTGCTCTATAGCAGCTATTTAAAAATTGGAAGAGGAGAAGAAGAAGAAGAAAAGCACTTACCGTGGTTGAAACCCCGACATGGCGAATCGCGATGATCGCCCGCGCTTCAGGTTTGGGCGGCGTATCAGTCAAACCAAGCACGAGGATGGACGTTAATTTGTACGCGACTTCATCAAATGACACCTGAGAGAGATTTGAGGACAGTTGCTAGTCGTCTCATGGCGGCCGGTGGTTGTTTTATCGACTTTTATTGGTTCATCGACCAATTTATAACGGTGGTCCCATGTGGTTCAACAAGGCCATCGGATTGGTTGATGACACCAAGGCGGATGTCAGGAGCCGTCGTCGTCAGCTAAATGTTGCATTGCGTCCCTTGTAAAAGCACCTAATCAGTCCCATGTGAGACTCCTTATTCGTACTAGTATCTTAGTTTCACAATGCACAAATTCACAGGCATATATGTTGATTTCATAACTACGACAGATGGTCGGGGGGATCTAATCCCTGATATGAGTGGTATGTTCTACATGAGACAACACTTAAGGACTAGTGTAAATCAAGAAGCAGCCTTGCCGCGACTCTCATAAGGCAAAAGTAGGAACACGATACCCGCCACGGCAAACAGCGCCGCAGAAATCCAGATTGGCACACTGGTGTTCAACCCAACATACGCCCCAATCAGCGTGGCGCCAAGTCCTGCTGAGCGGTTGAACAGCATGGAAAGGCCATTGCCAGTTCCACGGATGGGCGCAGGGAACAACTCAGGAGTGTAGCAGTACAGCAGTCCCAAGGTGAGGTTCTGGAAGAAGGCGACACCACATGAGAATCCCAGCACGGCCGCCTGCGTCTCGGCCCGGGTGAACATAAAGAGGAAGAGACTTGTGCAAAGACACACTGCGCATCCCGTGCCCTTGCGACCAAATCGGTTGAGGTTGGATGTGTAGCCACCGAGGAAGGATGCTGGAAGTCCGCAGAGGGCCTGGATCGTCAGATTGCGGTAGGTAGTACTCAATGAGGACGAACCTGTAGCTACACCACGGTTTTGCAAGTATATGGGCAAGAAGACGTTGTAAAGAGGGAACGCCATTCCGACGGCCATCCAGAGAAACATGATAAGGGTGGTAGAGAGTGCCATGCGAGGGGTGGAGAAGAGGGCCTTGAACTTGTCAGGGGTAAACTTGTCCAGCGATCGCCGGAGGGTCGTCTTGTTAACATCATCGTCAGTCTCAGCCGTTGCCTCTGGGTTCAATGCAGCAAGACGAGCATCGATGGCTTGGAAGTGAGCGAGCTCCAACCAGGTTGTCTTGCCGTCGCGAGCAGCAATCTTATGGATCACCTCTACCACTTTGTCATCGCGGCCTCGCCCAAGCAGGTACTTGGGGGTCTCATAAATCCTGAATGAAAACCGTGCGATGAAGAGAATGATGGTTCCGACGCCAAGGGTCCAGAAGACATAGCGCCATCCGAGGTTGCTTTGAAAGGTGCAGTCCTTGGCGGACGCACAACTGAAATTGGCAACGAAAGGCCTACAAAACCCCATGTCAGGTTTTTTCTCCAATGGAAGACTCAAGATCAACTTACCAGGCAACCATGTTTGCAACAACCTGACCAAGGGCCCAGAAACCAGACTGCACCACCAAAATGTTCTGATGCGTAGCTGGGATAAATTCCAAGAAGATGGCACTGTCAACGGGCTGGTTTCCACCGCTGCCGAACCCAACAATGGCGCAGAGTGTGGCAATTCCTCCAAAGCTGGGCATTCCCGCTCCAACTAGACCTGCTATAGCAGTGATAAGGAGAGTTACGTTGAAGGCGAGTTTGCGGCCGATGAAGTCGGCGGTCATGGGCCAGAACGAGGCACCTACCAGCAGACCGGAATACTTGGCGACAGACAAGAAGGCAATCCGCTCGACGTTGAATTCCAGCTTAACGGGAGGCTGGATATTGGTGACCGCTTGCATCCAAAGCTGGTGACAGCTGTTAGTTTTCAAGCTATTCAATTCGTTGTCATTGAGCGCTTTCATACCTGGTCTAGAAACCATCCGAAGCCAGTCATCATGAACATCTTCCACTGAAAGGGACCCATGCCGATATCAATGAGAGCCTCGTTCAGAATTGAAATTTTGGCTTCATACACCGCATCGGCACCAGGCTGCACTTGTGTAGTATCAATTCCATGGTAGTCCGCATGGCCTGAAAGACCTTTTCCGAGGTCCAAATCCTCTTGGAGTACGGCATCGTTGGTGACAGGCGCCACCTCACCTGTGTCCACGTCAGGACTGGAGACCCCTGGGGGCTTGTCTTGTTTGCCTTGGGCCATTTCTAAATCACAGAGCACAACAGGTTGAGCAGAAGGCTGGTAGTCAATTAGGATCTGATGCAACTCTACAATACGATACGGAGGATCTTGGTCTCTTTATATAGCAATAGCCATGAAGCGAACTACGGAAGGCTGCCAAACGACTGCTAACATCGAGGAAGGTCGAGGCGAGGCGGGGTAACGTAGATAATAAGAACTTCGCGTCATTATTTTCAGGGTTTGTGCTCTAGTGCTAGATAAAGAAACCTGGGGAACTGATAGCCCCCTGTTGCTCACCAAGGCTCCTCTGTTTAAGTGGCTCGTTCATCTAAAGAGCTCCTCCACAGATCAAGGTCGGCGCCGGTTATCAGGAAGTCTAGTGGGTAGGAAGACACGATTGGCCAGGTTTACGTAAATGGCGCATCCTGAACCGGCGGTGTCATGTAGAAAGCTGGGGTACTGATATCCGAGGCCATTTCATTGGATCTTCTCAGTTTTGGTCTCCGAGTAAGAGTCCACCCACACGTGCTTATCAACCCGATTAGTATCATACCAGGATTAACAAGAATGAATGAATCCTAATAAACAGCCTGGGATTTCTCGCCAAGATCAGCTTATGGCTAGAACCTCTCCAAGTCATGCTAGGGCGGCTACACTAACCAGACAAACAATAGCACTTAGAAAGTCTAAACTGAATGATCGCTGGCGGCAAAGTGTCTGATATCCTGAACTCTCTGCAGTGGATCTTTTCTGTCAAAGTCGGAGAAGCTGTCCGATGCGGAGTTTGGAAGCCGTGCTTAGTCCCCAACAAGCTCACACGATTGGAAGAGCCAACCGTAATATTTGAGAACTCTATGACTTTAGAAGGGACGTCTTTTAATTTTAGCTGATGAACTTTGGATCAAAGGACCGCCTTGTACCAAATGTTGCCAACACTTGGGGTTTCTCAAGGAGCCGATGCACCCCCATTCTATCGCCACGGGCTTAATTTCCACGGTTTCGAGAAGTCGTTCTTTTAAGAGGCGTTCTTTTCAATATGAGACATCCTTTTGAAAATTACACGACATGCTTCAGGATTCGTGAAGCCTCAAGTAAGTGTACAACAAGTACTATAGGGGTCGTTTAAGTGAGATATATCCTAAGCCCAAGAGGGCAACGCAGAAGTGACCCAATATCCTCTGTTCAAAATTTGTTCTTCAGGTAATTTAACAGTGCAAAGAGAAACACTCAACATTCTCCAGACCCAGATCAGTGTTCGCAAAAATTCCACCCGATCCATTCCAGACTTTCTTCCGTCTTATCTTGCTTGACCGATCTCTCGTCCATCAGTTCCAACCGAATGGCCTTTGCCTCCTCGGTGCTAATTGGAAACTCGACTATGTCTTCAAGCACCATCTGCGTCAGCTCGGCCGGGAGCCGGTGTGTCAATGTGTCCCTGATCGGCCCATCGCATCCCCACCAATCACGCTGCTGGGGCGGGACGTTTGCCGTGGAGATCACCGGGATGGCTGGGTCGACGAGAAAAAGAGCAAGAATCTTGCGGTGGCCAGGTCGTGTGGGATCCGCAAGGCGAAATGGCGAGACCTTGTGCTGTAGTAGGTTGGGGAAGAATACAGCGCGCGTGTCGTCTTCGCCAGTAGATGGGCTGTTGGTTGTGAGAACGCCACCAATGTATTGAAGCGTGTCCCGATTTACGTTCGGAATCGCAAAGGTCTGCTCGATTGGGTAGTGCTGACTTTGCCCATATCCAAGGTTGACCGATAGATCTTCTCTGTTGGCCGCTGTACGGAAGTCCAGATGGCAATCAGTGATATTTTCCGAATCATAATAGAACAATGCTGTTGCACATATTCGTTCATTGAGCATGCCTTCTGAGTGCCAGGAGCCTCCTTCATACTCTGTGGTGTCGTTATCAACGTAGATGCTGTGATAGTCTGAAAGGTTCAGAGAAAGAGGGCGGTTCCCGGGGGACGACACATCAGAGTTAGGTGGAGAGCCCTCAGACGGGGCTGGTTGGAATGAAGATGCATCTGAGCCTTGGTCCTGGGCTTCAGGCTGCTCCGTCGTATAGAAATTAGCAAGCTCCTCGGAGACCTCAAATTTGTATTCGGGGTCCTCAGGGGTTAGGTGAACATTGGCAAGCTTGACAATCACCTGAATGCGTGATTTGCCATTGAAAAATCCCTCAGTTTTGACATCTGAAGCCGACAGTTTCAGGTGGTGCTCGGCACCTGGAACTGGCTCCGGTAGTTGGGCCGGGTGTGTTTTAGAAAACCAAGCCCAGTCACGCTTGAAGCGCTCAGATTCACGGTATCCGGGTTGCCATGGATCATTCTCATCTCCCTCCTCCCCTTCCTCCAGTGGACGGTTATAAGGCTGGCATTCCCATCTGCATATGTCCTTTGCTTGGCACTCCGGGTTAACGTTAGTCTCAGTAAGCCGTTGTGTCTCAAACTCTTTCGGCCATCTGTATATCACATCCCAAGCAGGCAGTGCCTTTTCGATGAACTTTTCTATCACTGGATATAAGTTTGCGTGGTCGATCGGGTGCAAATTGTTGATGTAGCTGTCGATTTTAGCAGATTGGTCGTCAAGAACGACGTCGCAAGGGAGCCACTGAAACTTGGTCGAAACAGAGGGCACGGTAGTCTCATTATCCCAACGGTCACC